GGTGCTCAGACATCTGAAGAGAGAGCTACCGGCAGCCTGAGATATGTGTCCTGCAAGTGGTTGGGGGCAGAAGTCAAATGTTTGCTGCTGCTTGAGATATACAGACAATCCCTGAAAAAGTGGAAAGAAGTCCTTTCTCCCCTTTGGTCACCTTTTGAGGTCCCCTTATTGTTTCCTGTTGTCAGAAGTTAGAAGGCAGCTGGCAAGAGAAACAGACTGTCATAGGTGGGACTATGACATTTATTTGGTTATGTCTTTGACTTTGAACTCAGCACTGAGCACCTTGCCAATGTAGATGGGATTCTGGTATCCCCTGGCATAAAGAGACATCTTAGATAATTGAATTTACCACTCATGGTTGCTAGAGATGAAGTGCCTATTGAGCCCAATGCCATGTGAAAACACGTGGCTAAGGAAAAAAATAAGCATTGTGCAGTGGGATGGCTGTTTCTGACTGCACTGCAGAGTTACAGAAAGATTATTTTAGGGCTTTAAATTCTTAGCTCAAGTCATGGTCAAAGAACCAAGGAGGTTTTATGGTGGTGGTATCAGCTATCTATTGCTGTGTAACAACTTGCACTAGACTTTAGTGGCTTAAAATAACAACAAGCCCTTATCTCAGTTTCGAGGGTCTGGAATGCAGGAGTGGCTTATCTGGGTGGTTCTGGTCCAGGGGCTGCAGTCAGGTAAAGGCTGGAGGGCACTTCAAAGGTGCTTTTTCACACAGCTGTAAAGTTGGTGCTTACATGATGTCTATTTTTCCTTTCAGTTCTAGTAGCTTTTGCTTCACGTATTTCAAAACAATGTTTTTAGATGCATACACATTTCGGATAGTTATGTCTCCTTGGCTAGTTGACTTTTTTGATCATTATGTATTTCCCTGTTTATCCCTAATAATTTTCCCAGCTCTGAAGTTGACTTCATTTGATATTAACCTAATCTAATCTAAAAATAGCCAGTCTAGCTTTCTTTAAAAAATAGTGTTTTTGTGGTATATCTTGCCTCATCCTTTTACTTTTAACTTATCTATACTCGTATCTTTATATTTCAAGTTGGTTTCTTCTAAACAGCATAGTTATTTTTTTCTTTAAATTCAATCTGACAATCTCTATTTTTGGTAGAAACACTTTATATACTACAGAATTCTTTGACTGTTACACGGTTTGCAAATGTTTGTCTTGGCTTATCATCTGCTTTGGTTAGATTTTTAAGTATTATTATTTGAAACATTTACATGGAGTAAAAATGACTTTCTGCTTACAGTTCTGTGTTTTAGCACATTTATAGATTCATTTAACCACCACCACAATTAGGATACAGAACAGTTCTACTGCCCTCAAAACACTCATGCTGCCCCACGGTAGTCAAATCCCTCCCCACCCCAATTCCTGGGCACCACTGATCTGTTCTCCATCCCTCTAGTCTTGCCTTTTCTAAAATTTCATATAAAGAGAATCATACTGTATGTAACATTTTGAGACTGACTTCTTTCAGTCATCATTGTACTTTTGAGATTTATCCATGTTGAGGCAGTATCACTGGTTCCTTTTCATTAGGTAGTATTCTACTGGATTTACTGCTGTTTATTCACTTGTTGAAGGACATTTGGGTTGTTTCTAAATTTTGGCAATTATGAAGAGCTTTTAGGAACATCCATGTACTTACAGGGTTAAATTTTGTGTGTGTGTGTGTGTAATGTAAGTTTTAATTTCTCTAAGGTAAATACCTAGGAGAGGGACTGCAGGGTTGTATGGTAAATTATATGCTACGTGTGTTTAACTTTGGAGGAGTACAGTGACTGTATCACTTGGCATTCCTGCTACCAACATACAGGAACTCCAGTAGTTCCACATACTCAGACACTTGGTATTGCCAGTTTTAGAACTGTTAGCTATTCTAATAGGTGTGAATCTCATAATGGTTTTAATTTGCATGTCCCTAATGACTAATAATGTGAAGCATCTTTCTATGTGCTTTATTTGACATCTGTATATCTTTCTAGGTGAAGTGGTTGTTAAAATCTTTTGCCTAATTTTTTTAAATAATTGCGTTGTTTGTTTTCTTGCTTTTGAGTTTTGACAGTTACGTTCTGTAAAAAGCCCTTTGTCGGATGTATGATTTGGAAATTCTTTCTTCCAGTCTGTATCTGGTTTTGGTATCAGTAATTCTGACCTCATAAAATGAGTGAAGTGCTCTTTTCTACTTTCTGGAAGGGGTTGTGTAGAATTGGTGTTTTTTTTCCTCCTTTGAATTTGCCAGTGACACCACCTGAACCTGAAGTTTTCTTTTTCTGAGGATTTTAAACTACAAATTCAATTCATTTAGTAAATAGTCACATTTTCTATTTATTCCTTGGTGAGTTTTGGTTGTGTCTTTTAAGCAATCAGTTCATTTCATTAAAATTAAAAAATTCTGGTGCAACAAAGGACACAAGGAAGTGAGAAGACAATCCACAGGATGGGAAAAATATTTGCAAATCATATAAGGGACTTGTATCCAGAATATTTAAAGAACACTTACAACTCAATAAGATAAATTACCTGATTAAAAAGTGGGCAAAGAACTTGAATAGACATTTATCCAAAGGAGATACACAAATGGCCAGTAAGCACATGAAAAGATGCTCAACATCATAATAACTACGGAAACACAAATCAAACCCACAAGATGCCACTTCACATTCACAAGGCTGGCTATAATATAAATAACAGACAACAGTAAGTGTTAGTGAGACATGAAGACATTGAAACCCTCATACATTGCTGGTAGGAATATAAAATGGTGCAGCTGCTGTGGAAAATGATTTGGAAGTTCCTCAAAATGTTAAGCATAGAGTTACTACTCTCAGGTATATAACCAAGTGAAATGAAAACATACATTCACACAAAAACATGTACACCATTGTTCATAATATAGCATTATTCATAGTAGCCAAAAGGTGGAAACATCACACATCTATCAGCATGTCTATGAATGATAGTGGTACATCCACACAGTGGAATATTTTTCTACATAAAAAAGAATGAAATACTGATGACATGCTGTGACATGGAAGAACCTTAAAACTGTTCCGTGAAAGACACCAATCACAGAAGATTACATATTGTATGGCTAAAACTTATCTAAATCTATAGAAAGTAGATTAGTGGGTGCCTAGGGCTGAGGGAGGGGTGAAATGGGCTCTGCGTTTCCTTTTTAGGGTGATGAAAATGTTCTAAAATTAAATGATGGTGATGGTTGCACAACTCTGAAGACATTAGAAACTTGAATTTTACATTTTAATTGGTGACTTGTATGTGAATTATCTCATAAGTGTTACAAAATCAATTGACATCATAATCAATTGTAGCAATGAGGACTATTTATAGCAGCTTTGCATCTTTTCTTTGCTTGTTGTCTAATTTTTCCTTCCCTCTAGTTCCCTTATTTCATATGAAAGTATTGAGGAGGAGGAGGAGGATGAACTTTACTATTTAAGTCTTTCAGTTACTGAATATTCAAGTAGAATTTTGACTGGAATCAACAGTGATGGGTATGATGACTATAGAACTTTGTCATCCATCCCTTTTGGGAACACAATGATGCCATCTGTGTATACAGGATACTTGAACAGCTTTAGGTGGAAGCATGGAGTTGTACGGAAATTGAATATGGTACAAAGGTGTGTATGGGTGATGAGTAGCCAAAGGAGTGGACTGTGTTGGTTACTTACTGTATCTCAGCACCTAGCCCACTCCATTTTCTGTTCCGTGATGCTGTTGCTGGACTGCTGAAAACTAGTTCCCAGACTTCCTTGTCAGCTGATTTCCTGTTAAGGTTGGCCTGCTAGTAGGGGCCAGCAGAGGGAGATTGGACAGAGAAAGAAGGCAAGGGACTTTTGCCCTCCAGCATGTCAGCTGTAGCAGACACTTAATTCCTGCACCGACCACTTTTGCACCTACCTTCTTAGATGTTCCAGCACTAGCTGCTTAGAATCCAACCCTTCTCAACACACATCAAAAACCCAAGAGCTGGTCCCATGGGGCTTCTCCCTCTAGGTTCCTGGCCAGCTTCCAAGATGACCCCCAGTGTACCCTCCTGGTCCTGGTAGTCATGGCCTTGTGCAGTCCCCCGTCCCATGTTGAATCAGATTTGGCCCATGTGACCAATGGAATATGGTGAAAATGGTGCTGTATGACTTCTGAGACAAGGTCGTAACAGGCAGTGGAGTTTCTGCTTTGCTTTTTGGGCATGCTCACCTAAAGGATGCCATGAAGACACTCAACAAGCCCTGTGGAGAGGACCCTGAGGCCTGTTGTCAACAGCCAGCATCAACCTGCAGCCATGTGTGAGCCACACACAAGGGATCTTAGAAGTGGACCCTCTGGCCCCAGCCACCCATCAAAGGATTGAAACCCCAGGCAATATCTAGCCGCAACCTCAGAAGAGAGACCCCAGACCAGGACTACCCACCCAAGCTGCTCCCAAACTCCTGACAAAGAGAAATTGTGAACCATGAGTGATCACTGTTATTTTAAGCCACCGCGTTTAAGCTGTGATTTGTTGTGCAACATCAGATAACTTCAGTCACTTCTTCGGTCCTTAAATGCCCAACCAAGATGTGGCAGCAGCTTCCTGCAGTTCATCATTTCTGGGTTACCTCGGTATTGTTTCAACAGCTCTATGAATAATTCGTTGGATTAAATGCCCTATATATGAAATAACTAGTGTGGTTTCTGTTTTTCTGATTGGACCCTTTATGTTTTAAGAAGGAACATGAAATGAAAGCAATACATTCCGTAATGTCTCCCTCCCCCAGCTCCTCCCCTCTCAAATCCAGCTTCGGGAACATCTTCACTTGTCGCCTGGGCCACCACCTCTGCTCCTGCCCTCTGCACCCTATGCCCATCCCCACCCGCCCCTTCATTTCTGTCTCCCCACCAGGCTTCTAGTCACAAAGGTCCTCTCTTGTCCTATTTCCTCAGGGCCCCCAGACGCACACTGTACCACAGGGTCTGGAGGGGAGTACAGAACTGAGTTTATTGTTCTGAGTCTGCGGTTTGTTCCTTAGACATCATGATTCCTGAATGGAGGTGACTGTGCCACCTCCCTGAGTCGCAGTCTTGTGGGCCTGTTTAGATTGTTTTCCAGGTTCAAAGTGCACTGAGAAGGCTTCACAGTTTTAATGCTTTCTAGATGCTCAAATGAGGCAAGGTGACGAAATGGCATCCCCACCCCCGCCCGCCAAAAAAATAAAATCCCAAGCCCCCAGCAGCTGCTGCTGTAGCCATATGAAAAAATAATACAAACTCTTCTTAAAAAATAGATTACACAGAAAGAACCCAGAGGACGGAGGAACATGAGGAGGGGCAGGGGCTGCTCCAGCCATTGGCAGGGAGTCTAGGGAAGAGGCCTGGGAGGGGCGCTGAGATGAACTTCAGGGGGCTGGGTTGCTGGTGGACACCTGCCTGGTCTGCTCTGCCCACCCTCCCTCTGCTCCTCCTCCCAGCAGCTCTGGCCCAGGGACCCTACCTTCACCCTGAGGCCTGGTACCTGCTTCTCACTAAAATGGCTCCAATAAAGAAACGAAAAGACCCAAAGCAAGGAGGGCTGTTGCCTAGCAAGCAGAAACAGATCTCCCCACACAGGAGCAGACCTCTCTGCTTTGGGGGTTTGGATAGTTATCAATACCTGCTACTACCTAGCTACCCCTGGGGACAGTGGGGTGGGGGGGGGTGATGGGCCCCAGACTCCCCTATGGCTCCTGGGAATATGGCCTCTCCCTTGACACACGCCCTCCTATGTACCCAGCCGTGACAGGGCATGGCCTGAAGCTGTCCTCCAGCTTAGCCTTGGAGGAGCTGCAGACAGGTGGGGTGTGCGCAGGACGGCCAGGAGGTGGGGTGCGGGATGGGGCACAACTCACACGGGCCCTCCAGCTCATGCAAGGAGAAGCGAGGGGGCAGCCCCACCGAGACAGAGGTAAGGTGGGGCAAGGTGATGGTGTATGTGCAGCCAGGCCAGTTCTGGGGCCAGGGGCAGACAGGGCAGGGGCCGCAGCCCGCAGGGTAGAAGGCAAGTCAGGGCCTGGTGCCGGGGAGGGATCTGGGTGCCCGGTGCCCGCTAAGGGCGCCACAGCCAGCTACCTCCTGCAAAGGAACCTGGTGCAGGATGGGTTCTCCAGAGCGGGAACAGGGGCTGCTGGGCGGGCTGGGTTCAGTCAGGGACCTCGGGGTGGGCAGGCAGTCCACTTTCGCCGCGCCGGTAGGTCTCCCAGAAGCCCCTGTCCAGCTGCTCCAGTTGTGGGCTCAGTGGGAGGTGGCCGGCCAAGTGCATGCGGAGGGTCTCCAGCCACTGCTCCAGCTTCACAAAGGAGGGCCTGAGGCGACACATGGCAGGGACAGGGAAGGTGGGTTCTGGCTCTGCCGGGGAACGGCTAACCCTCAAGGCTGCCCCATGCTGAGCCCCACCCCACTCACCTCTTCTCAGGGTCCAGATCGCAACAGCGCACGGTAATGGGGAAAAAGCTTGGGGGGCAGTTTGGGGGGCAGTACCGGTCCAGGAATCCTCGAACATTGAGGCCGAAGTCCATGGTGCGGGGCAGGTAATCGGGGTCGGCGTTTACCCGCCCAATGATCTGTCCAACACAAGGACGAGCACTTACCCGGGGCCCTTGGGGCTGGGCGCCACCCAGGTAGGTTTGAAGGCAGGCAGCACTGGGCCTGGTTGCTGTGGGCGGCCCAGTTCCAGGAGCATCCTGGCCTGGGGCCCCTACGGACTTCCAGCCTGCAGCCTGGGAGGGTGAGGAGTGGAGAGGAGCCACTGGGTCCAATGCCAAGTGCTGCCCAGCCCTGGACCTACCTCACACAGGACGATTCCAAAGGAAAACACATCCACCTTCTCATCATATCTGCAGCCTGGACAAAGAGACTGACTGTTAGCAGGTCAGGCAGGGCCAGGGATGTCAACTGGTGGGGAGCGGGGGGTGATTGGGCCAGGGGCAGGCCACCTGGGCGGACGCCCTGGCCAGCAGGTCAGGACCAGGAGGCAGATGCCAGCTACCTCCACGGGGTCAGGGACAGAGCCTAGGCAAACTTTTGGGGGATGAGGATGAGAGCCCTGGGCAAGGGTTTCCAGGCCCAGCCCAGTCACAGACCAGCCAGCTATATAACTCCAGGCAAGTCGCAGACTTCATGGTGGCCCTCAAAGATAACCTGTCAAACCCCTGGGCCTGTGACTTTATTGGAAATAGAGTTTTTGCAGACATGATTAAGGATCTTGAGATGAGATGCTCCTGGATTACCCAGGCAAGCCCTAAACACCATCACAAATGTGCTTATGAGAGACAGAAGACACAGACGAGGCGGCAGTGGCCATGAGGAGACGGAGGCAGAGGTTGGAATGACGTGGCCACAAGCCTGGGAAGGCCAAAGCATTCACCAGAAGCTGGAAGCAGCAAGGAACAGATTTTTCCCTGTAGTCCTTGTAGGGGGCACAGCTCTACTGGATTTCAAACTTCCAGCTTCTAGAACCTTCTATAAGAGAATAAATTTCTCTTGTTTTAAGCCACCCAGTTTGAGGTAATTTGCTACAGCAGCCTCAGGAACTGATTCAGACTTGCTGAGCCTCAGTTTCCTCATCTGTAAAATGGAAAGATCTCCCTCATGATGTTAAAAACAACCCACACAACCATTCTCATTTATTAAATGCTGCCGGTTCATAGCCTTATCTAATCCTCACAGCACCCCTTACAGATAGGACTGTTAACCCCATTTTACAGGTGAAGTTATTTGGGGGGCTATGTTAACTTTGGTCAGAGCTGGTGCTGAGATGACCTGCCTGCCCGCCCTGACCCTGTGTTTGCATGTCACCTGTCTGTGGACGGGCTTTATCACCCATGGTCTAGGCTCACACTGTGACAGTCCTGACAAAAAAGAAACACAGTGGGAGAGAGAAGACCTGTCCTAGGTTGAATAACAGCCCCCGAAGATGTCCCAGTCCTGAGCCCCACAACCTGTGACTACTGGGACTTTGCAGGTGTGATCAATTTAAGGATCTTGAGATGGGGAGGAGCCCTATGTCATCACAAAGGTCCTTGTGAGACAGGGAGCGGGGTCAGGGAAAGAGGTGTGACAATGGACACAGATGTCAGAGAGAAGATGCTAGGCTGCCAGCCTTGGTGGAAGGGGCCATGAGTGGGGGAATGCAGTGGAAAAGAAACATATTATTCCCTAGAGCCTCCGGAAGGAACTAGCCCTGCTGACACCTAACATTAGCCCTGTGAGCCTGATATTGGACACCTGACCTCTAGGACCACATAATAATTTGTTTTTAAAGCCAAGTGTGTGGTGATTTGTTACAGCAGCAATAGGAAACAAATATAGGACCCAAAGAGGAGGCTGGGGTTGAGTCCCTACATCTCTGCCTGGGACCCCTGGGGTGGGGGAGAGGGCACCCACTCACCATTGATCATCTCGGGTGCCATCCAGTAGGGGTTGCCTACCACCGTGTAACGCTTTCTGCGGTCTGGCTTCTTGAGGCTTCGCAGGTCCTCGGGCTGCGTCTTCTCATCCACCATGAGCCGCGCCAGCCCGAAGTCAGCTACCACCACATTCTTGTTCTGGGGTGATGCAGAAGCAGGGCCACAGTGAGCATGCTCCGAGCACCACCTGCTGCCTGCTCCTGGCCTGGCCCCTACACCAATCCACAGTCGGCCAGAGCACACGCCTCTGACACCTGGGGGTCTCCCAGGGGGTTGCCACCCCACTCCTCAGAGGGGCTCAGGTGCAGCGTGAGGACCCCCTCCCTTCCCCAAACGCCTCTGCTCTTTGCAAATGGAGCTACCCAAAGCTCCTGAAAACACCAGTGTGGCCCCACTCCTCTCTCTTATTATTTTATCTCTTAATCCTCCAATAATCTGGTAAGGTACACGTTATTTTTATCCTCACTTCACAGATGAGGTGACTCAGGCCCAGGGAAGTTAAGAAAGTCGCTCAAGGTCACCCAGCTGGTTAGTGGCAGGGCTGGGATTCAAACCCAAGGCTTCAGAGCCCCAGGCTCTACTGTTTTAGGTTTATAGGGCCCAGTCCAGAACCCTGCAGAGTGGAGATGCCGACTACTCTGTCTACCCCACATGATGGGAAAATCACCGAGGGAGCCTCCTGAAAGATGAGGGGCAGGCAGGGAGCCCTGGGGCACAGTGCCAAGTCAGGGGGTTAGGGAGGTCCTCCGAGTGCCCCGAAACCTGGCCTCTTAGGCTTGATGTCTGGGGCCCTGGAATTCTGGACCCTACTTGCTGGCCCCGGGATCAGACACTGTTGTGAGTACACCAAGAGGCTGAGGTGGCAGGGCCCCAGCCAGGGGGGTCGTTGGGGCCAGGATCACTCTGAAGGGAAGGACCCTGTGCTGCCTCTGAAAGTGACACAAATGTGTACAGTCACCTAGAGAAAACTCTACAAAGATGGCTGGGGGAGGGGCTGAATATGGGTCCTAGGCCCATCTCAATGGGACCTCAGGTAACACAGTCCCTCTCATGGCTCCATCTCCTCAGGTATAATACCAGGTAGAAGGTTAGTTGAGGGGGTTTTGGCCTGGGTCCCTTGGCCCCCCTGGGCAGTGGTTCTTGAAGGCCAGGGTCCACCAGGACTGTTCAAGTGCTGGCTCCTGCCCCATTGCTTTCACAAGGCCTGAAGTGGGGCTCAGGACCCTGCACTTTCATGGGTGCCCCAGGATCTAATGGTATAGGGGTCTGCAGACCCTGCTACGGGAAATAGCTCTAGGGAAACCAGCCAGGGCGACCACCAGGGTCTCAGAGGCCCCAAACTGTAGGCAAAGGTTCTGGTTGTGTATAGATGGATTCTGGGGACAGCAGGGCTCACAGCTCTCACCAGATTCTCAAGGGATGGTCCTTGCTACGGGACTGTGGCTGCGATGGCCACGCTGTCTTCACTATGCTTGCCCACCAGACTGGCCAGGCCCTGCAGTGACACTCATTGCCAGCAGGGGCAGTCTGAGCATGATCCTGGGGAGGCCATGGATGCAGCCTCGTCCATCTCTGTGCTCACTGTCCACTGCTTCCCACAGCCCAGGACATTCCCAGAGGGCTGAGACCCCAATTCAACAGCGAGTAACTCAACACTTCCTGAACCTCATACTGCCGGGCCTTTGCATGTGCTGTTCCCACCACCAGAAACACTCTTCCTGTGCTGAATTCACTGGACAAACACCTGCCTCCTCCAGGACTGATCTCAACTGGCCGGCACTGTGATGAATCATGTCCCCTCAAAAATTCATGTCCACCCGGAACCTCAATGTGATCTGAACTGGAAACAGGCTCTTTGCAGATACAATTAGTTAGGATGATGTTATACTGGATTAGGGTGGGCCCTAAATCTAACGACTGGTGTCCTTATAAGAGGACACACAGAGGAAAGAATGCCATGTGAAGACGAAGGCAGAGATTGGAGTGATGAAGCTACAAGACGAGGAACGCCAAGGAGTGCCAGCAGGCACCAGAAGCTAGGAGAGAGGCGTGGGACAGATTTTCTCTCAGAGCCTCTAGAATGAACTAACCTCGCCAACACCTTGATTTTGGGCTTTTGGCTTCCTGAACCCTGAGAATAAATTTACGTTGCTTCAAGCCATCCAGTCTGTGATACTGTGCTATGGCAGCCCCAGAAAACCTCTCCAGGTGGGCACGGTCAGTCACTCCTCTGCCTTCTGAGACAGCCTGTGGTCCCTCAATCACTACCCCCTTAGGCCCTGGACTCACTGTCCCTACTGCCCCGTACTTAAGTATGTTCTCCCAAAGCCTCTTTCAGGAAGCCTATCTTGACGCCAGCCCACACACCCAAGCCCTCTTCCGGACCTGCAGCTCTGCGTGCCGCCTGGTGCTGGCCTGGCCACTCTGCTGTGGGCCATTCTCTGTGAATGCCACGCTCATGATCCTTTATGGTTTACGCATCAATTTCTCCTTCATCAATTTGTCAGACTCTCCTACAACCTGTGATGTCGGTGGCTCAGAGCTGGAGCCACACAGCAAGTAAAGGGCACAGTGAGGTCCCCTCCTGGCCTTGAGCTGCTTCCCCACGGGCCAAACTGGAGTGCGGAAGGCAAGCCAGGGACCCCTGTTCAGGGCGAGTCCCGAGGCTGGGAGTGTGGTGGGCAGGGCTCCTGCTGCCACTTCCTTCCCAGGCTGCTCACCTCACGCACCAGGCAGTTGTGGGAGTTGAGGTCCCGGTGGATGATGTTCATGGAGTGGAGGTAGGCCTGGAGGTGGGGAGCATGGAGGTGAGGAGACAGCTGAGCTGAGGGACCCCAGCCCCGCCCCCAGAGGCTCCCACCTCCCCTCTCCCGCCCCAATCAGGCCAGTTGGGAGTGCTCTTCCCACTCTCCATTCAGTCCCCTTTGCCCCCTCTCAAAGCTTCCTTGTGGCTTCCATTTCTAAATTTCTTGTGGATTTTCGGGTTAGTGGAAGAGAATATTTTCCTAAGTGGGGCTGGATCGCTCAGCCCACACCCCGGAAGTGAGAACCAGAGCCTACTCACCATCCCCGAAGCGATATCCTTGGCAAAGCTCACTCTCTGACTCCACGGGTACTGGCTGTCCTGGGGGCGGAGACAAGGGCCAGGAAGGGCCAATGGGGCCACAGAGGCAGGACAGTCAGGGGAGAGATAGGCAGGAGGGTAAGTGTCCTAGAGGGCCCGATGACCCCCACTCTCTTCTGCACCCACACCTTCCCCTTCTAAGACATGTGGGTGAATAATTCAAAACAATTTTCCAGCAGAACTGACTTCAAACAGTAAGGGGGGCAATACTCCTCTATGACCCGCCACCACGGAGGAAAAAGGCTGTGCATCTTCTACAAAATCCCATTTTTTTTCAAGCTTAAAAAAAATCTGAACCTATTTTCATGGACCAGCAGATATAAGGGTCCGGCGAGGTCCCCCGCAGAGTCCAGCCATGTCATTCAATATAGAGCAGGGCTTTGGGCTACAATCATTTGAGGAAATGCCTCTTCTCCCACCTCATCCCCTTGGAGACCCAGTGGGAGGGTGAGGACATCAGAGCATATTAAAGATTCAGAGTGCACTTAGGAAGCTTAAGTTGGTGTAGCCCAGCATTTCTAAGTAATACTTGACCACAGAATTCCTTCTGAGAAGTGGCATCTGTTAGGAGCCTGCAGGGGAGACACTTTGGCAACACCAAGTAATTCAGCAGTGGGGGTGAGGAATCAGTGGTGGGCACAGGAGCGGGACAGGATCGCAGGGTCTCAGGGTGATGCTGAGATGGCACTAGCACTGGATCGCCGGGGCACTGCCAGCAGCACCAAAATGCTACAAGTGTCCCACCAAGCACTGTATTTCTAGAGATGGTTTTGTAATTTTATCTAAGCCCTAAAAGAAAGTTCTAAATTTTATGGAACATGGCTAACAGGAAAATGATTTGGTTTTGCCAGAAGCAAAACAAAAGCCTGCAGTGAAGAGGTCATGGAAAGGTGCCTCTCCTCATGTGTTTGACCTGTGGCAGGTGTGGCCAGGTCTGGCCTGGGGCCCTGCAGGACAGCTAATCTCAACAGTCTGTGTGTCCCCTCGGTGACCCTGCCACCCTTCTCTGGGCCCTAGCATTCCCCCAGCTTGAGATGGAGTCTGCAACCCTGTTCAATTCTGAATTAGGGTTTGGCGGGCCTTTGAGGCCAGAGGCTGACTCCACAGAAGAGCTGAGGAGCTGGGCCCAGAGGGAGGTGCTTGGCACAGGGCTCTGTGTGGCACTCACCATGCTCTTGATGATGCCCCGGAGCGTGCCCCCCTTAATGTACTCGGTGATGAAGTTGAGCCTCTTGTCCTTGTAGAGCACCCCGATGAACTTGAGCACGTTTGGGTGCTCCAGGCATCGCATGACCTTCACCTGGTGAGGAGCAAACAGGCTGGGCCTGGAGCTGTGACCGTCTCTTTCTCCCTCGGTTGTCCCACCAGAGGCCACAGACAGTCCCAAAGATAAAAGAGCCTCCATGCCCCGGGGGCCCACTGTGGATGGGCTTACCCCTCTTGCCCTCCTGGCAGATACTGTGTCTTCTTTCAACATGTAGCTTTAGCGTCACATCCTCCCAGGGCCCTCTGCCACCCTCTCTCATTGGGGGAAGGGAGTGGAGACCACACATATCCTAGAAAGCTGGTGAAGAGGATGTGGGCAGTTCCACTCACTGACCTCCTTGAGAAACGTCCTCTGTGTCTCCTCGTCGAACCGGATCAGCTCCTTCATCACCATCACCTCGCCCGTCTCCCGGTGTGTCACCTGCGTAGGGACACCGAGGCATGAAGACAGGCAGACAGAGGCTCTGCTCTAAGCCTGCCTCGTAGGAGGCCCCATCCCCACCCCAGGAGCACCAGGGAGATGAACAGTCGGCTTTAAGCCATTCACACACATTTCATGTAATAGTCCTGGCCCTCAAGGGGGGGTAGGACTTAATACTTTCACAGATGAGGAAACTGCGGCTTAGGGAGGTTTCCTAACAGGGACCAAGGCTACCCAGCTGGTAGGGAAGGGGGGTGGCTGGAGCTTGGGTCCAGGACCACCTGACCCAGAGGCCAGCTCTCTTTCCTCTGCTCTGCTGGACTGTTTCCTGGAGGTAGAATGGTGGCTCTACCAGGGACTCCTCCCCTGGCAAGGGGACCAGGGGCAAGGGCTAGGGCCAGATGTGAGCCACGGAAAGGCTCATGTCTCTGCTGGGTAGAGCGTGATGAGGGAAGCAGCCCAGAGCCCCGAGGAGGTTGGCATCAGGCTCAGTATGGGACCTCAGGATTGGTCTGGGTTGCCCTCCCATCCTCCACCCGAGGAGCCACCTTCCAACAACCTCCTCCATATAAAGTTCTGGGTCTATCCGGAGTAGGTCCCCTCCCCCTCACTAGCTGAAGGCCCAGGTGTAGGTGATTACTGGCCGGGAAGTCTAGAAGCCCCTTCCATGTGGATTCCTGGAGGCACTGGTGGGAGGAGGCAGGCGGACTGATGGGTTGCACCCGGACTGCTCCCCTACTCCCACTCCTGGCCAATCCCTCCCCTGCATGCCCCGTACCTTGATGGCCTGGCCGAAGCAGCCCTTGCCTAACACCTCCCCATGGATCAGGTCCGATGGCCGGAAGATGCGGTGTGGTCGGCAGACCACACGGAGGGACTCGGAGCGCCCTAGGTCCTTGCGCTGGGAGGCAGGGGAGCCCAGAGAACCACCAGCCGGAGACCTGTCGATGCTGCAGCTCCTCCTGGGGGGGGGGAGGGGCACACACATTCCCAGTGCCACTGGGGGCAGGCGGGCACCTGGGCAAAGGCACCCTGGGAGAGGCCAGGCCTTGACCTGCCCCCTGCCTGCCATACTCCATCAATGCCAGTCTATGCAGTCACCCGTTCTGAGAGGGTGGCACAGGGCTGCTCTCCTGGGGTGGTCATAGGCCCTTGCCCCATCCTGATGCCAGCACCTGGTGCCCTGCTCTGCTCAGCCTTCCTGTTTGAGGCCCAGTATCGTTCAAGGACCCTTAGTAGGAATGTTTGCCTTCGGCCTTCTCTGCTTGGTGGCCTGGGTCAGATGCTTTGTCTCCAAGTTTTGGGTCCCGGAGTGCAGAGGCAGATGACCTGCCCAGGAAGCCCACAAACCTGCCATGTAGGTGGCCTTACAGGGTGGCATGAGCTCCAACCAAATGCAGGCAGGGAGGAAACACATGCTTTTAGAGTAAAGGCTGTGCCCCCAGGTGTCCCCTCCCCTCCAAGTATTTACCAGGAGTCCTGAGTGGGCCCACAATAAATGGAGTGAGGACCAGGCTGTCTCTGGGTTTCTTCCTCATGCCCTTCAAACTCCTTTAAGAGCATACAGGGCACCCTCCCACCTGGACCACTGCAGCAGCCTTCTAGCTGTCTCTGGTCTTGGGCACCCTTCTGCACAGGGGGCCAGAGTGGTCTCTGTGAAACACCCTTCACTGGGGACCCATGATGGGTGGACAAAGACCCCTGCCACATCTCAAGCCCTGCAATTAGCTTCTGCCTCATTAAACCCCTGCCCCCACACCATCCAAATCTGATGCTCCCTTCATCCTGAGTTACTTGCCTGCTGCTCCTTGAAGCCAGAAAGCTGGTCTATCCTGGAAGTGATATGTAATCCCCAGATAGGAGAGCTGTTTCCATCTGTTTCCCTACTTCTCACTGCCCTTCCTCTTTCAAAGTCCCCAGCACTGCTTGCCGGCCTGCTTTTCTACAGGGCCGACTTCCTCTGAGCAACTGGAGGGTGGGGACCAGGTCTCATCCCTCGAGGCCCAGAGTCAGTGCAAGTACCCAGACACACAAGGCACAGAGATGACTTACAGGACAGGCTTCTGCCGAGCAGAGTTGCTCGCCTCCCCACTGGGAGTGTGAGCAGGGGAGCACAGGGGGCTGGGCTCGGGCCCTGGCACATGGCCCAGTGTGTCATGGGGATCATGCTCAAGAGTCAGCTGGAGCAAGCGGCTGGTTTCCTGGATCAGCAGATCAATCTAGGGAGAGCGAGCGTGTGGATAGGTGAGTCCCAGGTGGTGGCGGGCAGGCATGAAGGCACCATCTCCAATCCTGCTCGTCAGACTCAGGACCTATACATACCTCATCCAAGGGCACGTTCCGGATGGGTGTGCCATTGATTTCCAGGATCCGGTCTCCGACGTGGATGGAATTCTTCACATCCGGGCTCATACAGCCTGGGTCCACTCTGTGGGCATAGAACAGTGGTCAGACCCCAGCCCGCCTGCCCCCTAGCGCCCTGAGAAGAAACCAAAACTAAAGGGATCAGATCGGGGTGAGGAGACAGATGGTTCTATCTTGCGTGATCAGTAGGTGGCAAAGGTCTAGAACCCTGAGTTCTGGCGTGGTGGGAAGAATTCTGTAATTATTTACTGACGTCTGCTGTAGTGTGAAATCGGAGAAAGAAGGCACACCCTTAGGTATTTACTACCCTACACTAGGTGCTCGGTGATCCCATTCAAAAGAACGTTGATTCTGCCACGGAAGACAGGCCGATCCTCCGAACTTCCTGGTAGGCTTGGGGCAGACGAGCATCATGAGGCCTAAAGGGTCAGAATCCCCTGGCTTCCCACCTGACTCCCAAACTTGCAAGATGAGGCGAAGGCCCCCATTCCTCCGGAATCAGCAGGAAGAAGCCAGCAGCCTGCCCTGAGCCAGTTACAGAGTGGAGACGGGATGACACTCTCGATTAGGTGGCTATAAGCTAACTCATGGAATGGTTAATTTGACAATTTTACTTGTTTCTTTTAACTCAGGTGTTATCTGCTTTTCCTTTTGTCTTCATAAAGCTTTTTAAGGAATGTTCACTTGGCCTCTGCTCTGAGATGGGCAAGCACTGGGGGACAGGACAGAGAGGAGACTGGGGACTTTAAGAAAAACAGAGTCATGAAAATTTTTCATTATCAAGAGTATATTCTCACGTAGCAGAGAAGCTCCTCCTTATATTGGAAAGCCAAGTAATCAATGCAGGAAGAACAGAGTTAGGAAATCATCATTTTGTAGCCATCATAGTAATAATTGATATGGGTAAGAATCACCCATGGATGCTAGCACCATTTGGTGAGAGGTTCTTGGGGAACAGGATATTTACAGAGTCATGTCTCTCACATGACGTACTGGTGCAGAGAGGACACAGCATCACTTCTGTAGTATCAGCTAAAATGCATAACCTAAATCTAATAAGGAGGAAGCATCAGTCAAATCCAAATGGAGGGACATTCCACTTAACAACTGACTTGCACCCTTCATAACTGTCAAGGTCATGAAGGACAATGAAAAGCTGAGGAACTGTCACAAATTGAGACTGAAGAGCATAGGGATTGAATGAAATGTATGCTCATGAACTGGATCCTGGATTAAGAGGAAACTGCTATAAAGGACAGTACTGAGACACTGGCAACATTTGAACATGGAGTGTATATTGGATAATGGTATTGTTATCAATATTAAATTTTCTAAAGGTCATGATTACATGTAAGATACAACTGGTAATTATGTAAGAGAATGCCTTTGTTTTTAGGAGAATGTCTATAAAGTTTTTTTGGTTGAGGGGAGAAGGGTCAATGATATCTGCAACTTACTCTGAAATGACTTAGCAATAATAACAATATGTACATATGTTTAAGTATAGATCAGTATATATATGTATATACCATACATAAATGTAGAGGGAGACACACACATGCACCCCACGTGTGGCAAAAAAATAAAATTGTTAAACCTAGGTGAAGGGTGTATAAGGTATTCAATCTAGTTATTTTGGCAAATTTTCTGTAAATTTATAAATTTCAAGATAAAAAGTTGAAAAAACAATGAACATATTTTCATTGATGTAGGTTTCTTGTGGATATAGCTTTAAAAATATATTCCTTAGACTCCCCCCTCGCCCCCTCCCTCAGTCGCCTGCTAAGGCAACAGGGGGCTGGGGCATAGATAAATGAAACTTTCCTTAAAACGCTGCTATAAACGAAATGAAAAGTGGTCAGCTACAACTTGCTTAAAACACGTAAATCTGGTGAGCAGCTTTGGGCAAGCTGGGTTGCTCCTGAGGAGTGGCTCTCTGCAGAAATTGGAAAGCAGTTGTTGGCTGGAAAGAATGCTCCTCCAGTGGGGTAGCGGGGGCTGGCGGCAGGGGCTAGCCATTGGCTCTCCCTTTGTAAAATGCCATCTGGTTGTCAGAGACCAGCTGGTCTGGGAGTTTCCCTCTCTCTCTCACCAGTCTGTCTGCTTACTTGTATATGTAAGGCAGCTGCTGGCCTGGCTGATGCTCAAGGCGCGAGTGGAGAAGCAGAGTCAAGCCTGACAGCATCCTCCTTCCCAAGTACCCTCTTCACTTCCTACCAGCTCCAAGGCATGGTGCCTGGTACCCAGCAAGTACATGAGAAAATTCAGTGAATCCAATGAAAGCTGGCACTCGGCTCCTATGTCTAGTTGTGTGCACACAGGAGACATTTAAAGCTACTCAAGGAGTCAGTGAATGCCCAGGAGAAATCTTAGAAGGCTCTAAGGCAGCGGTTCTCAACCTGTGGGTCGCGACCCCTTTGGGGGTCGAACGACCCTTTCACAGGGGTCGCCTAAGACTATTGGAAAACAAAAAGATATTTACATTACGATTCATAACAGTAGCAAAATTACAGTTATAGAATAGCAACGAAAAATAATTTTATGGTTGGGGGTCACCACAACATGAGGAACTGTATTAAGGGGTCGCAGCATTAGGAAGGTTGAGAACCGCTGCTCTAAGGTGTCCAACTACCTCATGGTTCATGCCAAGACCCCAAAGCCCAGGGAGGACAAGAGACCTGCTCAACATCACAAAGTGTTGGCAACTGGGCTGGTTCCCTAATCTTCATTCCTTCTTGCATCTCAGACCTTTTCTACATCCCTTAGAATTCTCTTTAGCAATGATAAGCTCTTATCAAATCTTGGTTTTGTCTGCATTAACATGTTGTTTTTTTTCCATTTGAAATTATATTTATTAAAAACTTTACATACAGTAAACCTTAGCCTTTTGGGGGTACAATTAACATGTCTATTTTACCCTTATTCTTGAAGGATATTTTCATCAAATATAGAATTCTAGGTTGATAGTTCTTCTTTGCTCAGTGCATTGAATATATTATTTTACTAACTACTGGCTTCCATTGCTTCTGTTGAGAAATCAGCTGTCAGTCTTACTGTCCTCTTTTGAAGGTAATTTGTCTGTTTTTCTATGGCCACTCGGAATACCTTTTCTTTTGCCTTTGCTTCCTGCTTTCACTAGATGGGGCAATCCACGGGTGGATTTCTCTTTATTTTGCTGTTAGGGATTTACTGGGCTTGAGTCTGTGGACTGGTGTCTTTTATCAGTTCTGGGACGTTCTCAGCCATTACATTTTCAAATATTGCCTCTTTTCCAATATCTCTCTCTTCTCCTGGTATTCTAAATAGATGATGAGATCCTCTCACTCTATCCTCAATGTGTCTTAACCTCTCACAGTTTCCATCTTTTTGTGTCTCTGCTTCTCTCTTCAGCTATTTTAAACCCTACTCTACTGTTAAACAGTTGAATAAGATTTTCATTTTAATAATTATGTATTTCATTTCTAGGGGTGTTGGAGTCTTTTCAAAATTTATTACTCTTTACTCATTTTTCAATCATCTCTTATTAAAACATATTCAGCATAATTATTTTATACTGTTGCTAACAATTCCAATATCAGGAAGTCTTATAGGTCTGGTTCTGCTTCCTGTTGTTTTTGCTGACTCTCGCTCACAGTGCCTTGCCACCTTTTATGTTCAGTGATTTTTAATTGAATTGCTCACCTGCCTTGGGACACTTATATAAGTAAATTCAATGAAGCCTGGAGGTGGGTTTCTTCAGAAAGGATCTACTTCTGATTCTGTCAGGGCCTCAGAGAACTACAGTTGGGAAGTAGTTCAAACTCTTATAACTTTGCCTTAAGGTTTTTTGAACTACCCAGGCATATGAATTTGGTTTGCAATCCCCAAGTTTATGAATTCTCAGATTCCTTTCCCCTTCCATTCAGGTTCAAATCAGTTTATTTTACAGCTCTGCGAGTAGGGGGCTGATGGAAGGTGTGGTTCACTTCTCATTCATCCTTGAAAGCCCTTCTGGGATCTCAGCTTATGGGGGAGGGAGCAGTTCTCTTATTAGACTAGCTTCCTTAGCAGGTCAAGGCTTTAAGAGGCCCAGCCATGAAAGGACTTGAAAACTGAAGCCTAAGTTCATCTAATTTAGATTTGTCCTCCAGGTACAGCTGCCTTCAATATTGTGACACCCCTGGGCTCCCTCCTTCACGTAGTCCTGTTACTCCTCTTTATACATGGATTAAAGAAAATATTTTATCTAGCATTTGTAATGGTTTTTAGAGGAATGACTGGGTCAGGCATCTGGTATACCAGGCTGTCAGAGCTGGGCTCAGTTTACACCTAAATGCTCACCTGTTCTCAGAGCCCCCAGCCCCAGCCCCAGTCAGCCATCCATCTAGAGCATCCATGGCCTCAGCCATGCCAGCTGCAGCCTTGGCAGGCCAGCCACTCACCCTTGGACGCGGACGGTGTGGGAGTGCTCTGTGCCACAACCCGATGGGCCATGAGGGGGGTCGATGGAGACCGAGAGGCCACGTTTTCCATGAGCTGAGGCTGGGATGGATACTAGGGTGACTGTGTGGGGCAAGTGAGAGCCGGGGGAGTCAGGTAGGATCTGCTCGATGACAGGGGTCACCACAGTCTGGTAGTAGCAGTGCCCGCTGCAAGAGCCACAGCAAGAGGGGACATGGAGAGTGGGAAGAAAAGAGCATTAGCATAGTCACCAGAATCACCCCCTCTCCCCATGCCAGTTCCAGACTTTTTTCTCCTCCCCAGCGCCCCTGGGGAGGAAGTAGGTCTTAGCTACCAACGGGACTGGGAGCAGGAACTCAACATGCCCAGCCCTGCCCTTGCCCCTCTCTGGCGTTCAGCCGTTCCGGGTTTGTCTACCCTCTGTTATGTTGTAAGCTGGCGAGAAAAAGGCCTGGGGATAAATCCAGTTCAGGGGTAAGTCACTGAAAGTCCATCTGGGATCAAGCCACGCTGCCCTCTGCCCTCGCACCCAGCTTTATCAGCATTGTATAATACAGAGTTTATCTGATCTTTGTCCCTGGTTCCTGGGAAAGAGGCTCTAAATCCTTGGAATAAGAATGTCTGTTTCCCATGAGCCCCTCAGACCACACCTGAGTTTACATTAACAAGATGACTCAGGATGGGGGCTAGTCACCAGAAAGACCAACCATGGGATTAGAAGGTTGGGACTTCGACCCAGTCCAACCTCCAAAGAGGGGAAGGGGTCTGGGGATTGAGTTCAATCATGTGCCCAATGATTCAATACATTTTGCCTACACAATGAAGCCCCAATAAAAACTCGGGTGATTCCAGGGGAAGGGGGTCCCATATCTTAATGCCACAGGCAGAATGCATAGAACCTCTGCATTCTGGACCCTCAGACCTGGCCCTTTGGTCTCGTCATCTGGCTCGTCTGATTTGTACCCTTGAAACTAATTCTAAGTATATACAGTGCTTCCTGAGTTCTGTGCGTCATTTAGCAAATTATCAAACATGAGGAGGTTGTGGGAAATCCCTGATCTGTAGCCAGCTGGTCTGAAGTGGAGTGGCCTAGGGACCTCTGAACTTGTCTGAAGTGAGGGGGGTCTTGTTGGAGACTGGGCCCTGAACTTGCAGGGTCAGTGCTGACTCTGGTGGTTGGTACCAGAATTTGCACTGCAGTGATACATCAATAAGAAAGCTGATGCCTGAGGCTTTTTTTTGTTACACTTGTGTCAAATTTCCTAGTCACTTCTACACCATCACTTTTATTAATGACTACCCCCACATGGGCAGGGAAAGGGCCCTTGTGTGGGAGACTTGTGGTACAGGTAGGCACAGCAGGTGTGGAGAGGGGCCAGGGCACTCACCAGTACAGCTTGGAGTGCTCCACCAATGTGTAGGTGTCCCCGTCACCAATGAAGGTTCCACACGTGAGGCAGATGAAGCACTCGGGGTGGTACTTCAGCTCCCCAGCCACCTGGCAGGGATGTGGGTGGGAAAACCCAGCTTAGTAGCCCCTTCAGCCCCCATATCACCTCCCCTTGGCCTCCTCGCAGAAGGGCCGCCTCAAACAAAATTCAGGGGTCTGATTGGCCAGCTACTGAACTCTTGGACAGAGCTGGTTCCAAAGATAGGGGGCTGGGGGATACAGACAAATGGGCTAAGAAGGCACAGGGAAATTAAGAGAACCAGTGAAAGGAAGAACAAGAAGGATGATGAGAGAGTGATCTGGAGCAGTGAAACCTGTGAGCAGACATGGAGACAGACACACACACACGGTGAGGTGTGTGAGTCGGGGGCGTTGCTCACCATGACCAGCCCCTTGGTGATATGCTCCGAGCACCCATGACAAGATTCGCCATAGCGGGCCCAATAGTCCTTCTTGCAGAAGAGCTGCCCATCCTTTTCATAGTACTGGTGTGAGAGGGAGGCACTGCATTCACAACACCTGGAAGGAAGAGGCGCTGGGGCTTAGCACCGCCCATTCTCACACCTCCCCCACAGCTGGGCCTTGCCATAGTCTATAGGCACCTTTGGTAAAAGTAGAAAAAGGTGTGCCCTCTGGGCAGAGGCAGCCTGTGCTGGAGCACAGGGCTTAGAAGGTGGAGTCCGGGATGGATTTAGCATCCCGTTGGTCAGAAGCCTTTGTTCAGTGCACAGCCTGCACAACCACCCATAGCAGTTCTGCACCCACAGTGTCTGGTCCACCTGCTAGCCCCAGGTGAGCAGTGCTCCTCATCTGAGACCCTGTCCCTTTTCATGCAAGGAAGATGGCCCAGAGAGGGCAAGCAACTTGCTCTTGGTCACCAGTCAGGTGGAGGGAGTAACTAGGGAGCCGAGGACTGAGGTGGTGGGCCTGAACAAACCATAGGCCCCACTCCTCTAGTCTATTCTGCTTCCTCTCCCTCCCACTTCCCCCACCCCCCGAGATGTGGACACAGCTTGAGCCAACTGATATAGATAGAAGTGACCTGTTGGGGCTGTGAAGACCTACCAAAGGCTAGCAGGTTCCCAATGTCTTGGTTAAATTTATTTAATCCTCACAGGCCACCATGAGGCAGGCATGGGCATCCTCATTTTAGAGATGAGGCAGATGAACTTGAGTGTCCTAACTTCCCAAGGTTACACAAAGCTACTCCCTGTTTCACTAAGATATGAGGCAGGGGTTCAGCTCAGTAGAGACCAGCCAGGATGAGTCAAGACAGGGGATCTGGTGTTCTGGACCCGTGCCAGCCCTAGGTGCTGTCAGTCACTGGAAGGGGGCTTAAGAGGCAGTGCAGCATAGCCCCTCCCTCCAGCTCAACCAGAGCCTTACTCTGCATACCTTCCCTCAGAAAAGCAGTCGTGCTGTGTGGAGGATGCCTGGATGTGTGGGGTCATCAGGGCCCGAATCCCCCTGCTCCATAACCAGGGGATACCAGGGAGGCCTGGCTGGTGGGGCCCCTGAAGGGCAGATGGGGACGAATGATGTACCAGCTTCTAGAAGGTATCCCACAGGCCCAGAGCTGGACCAATATGCCTGGTTTCTCTCCACCCAAGCATCTGTCTGACTGGGGTGGGCACCAGCAGCCCAGATAAGTCAGGATGAGCAAATGCAGAAATTCAGATCCCCAATGGGCCCCCAGGGGCATGTTTTCAAGAGCAGGTCCCAGGGTCCTAGGGGCCAGAGAATCTGTCCAGCTCTACTGCTGTTTGGGCCCTCTGTGTGATGTGCCAAGGTCACACAGGGACAGGAGGACCCATGCTCAGAGCTTACGGACCAGGGCTTATGGCTCAGTAGGGAAACAAGTCAGGAGAGAAGAGGGCAGGAAAGACTGGGACCTGGCTGAGCCTCATCCCCCAGGGAAGCCTCCATTCTACTGTGGACTGCTCTGGTGACTGCTCCTTAGTCAGGGAACTGGGGATAAGGAGGAGGGAAAAGGCAGCAGCAAGAGGGCTGGTGGGACACTGTCCCTTTAAGAGGATCCAACCAGTTCCCCATTGTCTGGGAGCTTGAGGGAAGGGGGTGGGGACCACAGCTAGGGACAGGGAAGGCACAGAATGCCTGGGTTGGGAGGGGGGGGCGCACCCTAGAAAGGGGGATCTAATGAGGTTTCCCTATGAGAGAGGGGAGCTGGGAGGGAGGGCCTCTGAAGACCGCCCTGAGATGTGAAAGGCAGCGGAAGCAGCGGCTGGACCAGAGCCATGACGTCATCCGCTGCCCCCACAGCCCTTCCTGCCCCCTTCTCCCCTCCCCCGCCTTACTCCAGCCCGCCCAGGGGGCGGGCATCCCACTAGCACCACTGAAGGGGAACCAGTCCGAAGGGACACCAGGCCCCAGAGGGAGGATGCCTAGGGATGGGGGGAGGCCCAGCGCCGGGCCCCAGAGGCGCTAACATAGCCGGGAGGTGCACAGCAGGAGGAGCGAGCTCTGCAGAGGCAGCACAGGCTCTGCACCACACTGCTTCCTGACCTTGGAGAGTCCCCCCACGCCCAGTGCTGATCAGTGATTCACTCTGCCCTTCCACAGACCAGACGTGTTGCATCACAGGAGTGTCACCACAGGAGTCTCCCCCTCACTCCGGGCTGCAGGAAGCGGGGCCCCCACCTGTCTTCCAGTGGGTGGGTTGGTCCAGACTCAGGAGCAGCTGCCTTCCTCCAGGGGAGAGCATGTTCTTCTCCCGCCTGCAAACTCCTACTTCTTCACTCCTTCACAAACACTCATCACATTAGCAGCCCTGGATGACCCCACACGGATGCACCCACAGGCTCTGAGTGCAATCGCAACTCGGTCAGCACTTCCTGGAAGCCTGCTCAGAGGCCAGGCTGGCGTCCCCCCTTCCCCGACTGCCCCAATGCAGCCTGCACCACCAGACTTTGTTGGCCCACCAGGCTCTGCCATCAACCTGCAGGGTCTCTGAGGTCCCAGGCCAGGCATCCACAAACACTGGACCCCAAAGAGAATATAAGGGGTTCCCACCAGAGAGGCCTGCTCTGTGCACTCAACCTGGAGCAGTTCCCACCCCCAGCATCCTCAGAACTACTCCAGGGCACCCTGGCTGGGCCTCTGTCTCAGACAGGGGATCTAGCCCAGGCTCATGGTGGCTTGGCACTCGGGGCCTCAATGACCTTTGCTGATGGAAGGCACCCAGGAGCCTCTGACGCTGTCCATCTCTTTACCCCTCAGGCCAGAGGAGGCAGGTGGGGCAGGCAGGCCTGGCTCTTAGAGGTGCTCTACACATGCCCCCGGCCCCACCAAGGACAGCAAGAGAGGAAGGAGGGCCAGGTACTGAAGGTGTGTAGAGATGGCCCAGGGTGGGACGGAGAGGAATTCCTAAAGGGTGCACCATACAGGGTACCCCTCCCTGAGAGGAGGAGGAGACAGCCAGGCTCAGGCACTGGGCAGGGCATGAAAGGGCTAGGCTGGGAGGCAACCTCTGCGATGACAGGTCCATCCCTCCCAGGGCCACATCCCTGGACACCAGAGGTGATGAAAGAGTAGCTAGAGGACCAGCCTCCTGGGAAGACTGTACCAGAAGGGCCAGAAGCTTCAGCAGCGGCCTGCTCCCCCTCGACAGGCAGCCAGCAGTGGCCAGGAATTTCAGTTCTCCTGCCCTACTGCCCGGACCCACGTCGGTCTTTCCCCCAGTTGCCTATAGCCCCAGCCCTCACACTAGGGGCCCTCCCTGCCTGACGCCTGGGACAGGTGGAGAAGGGGCTTTTCACTTACTTGGCCCCTCTAAGGAAGCACCTTCTTCTTAGGGGCGAGGCCAGCATCCCCTGCCGCTCCCCACAGCAGGAACTCTGGAGGTCTGTGAGGAACACAGGGGTGGACCAACCGCTTCCCCATCTTACTCCAGGCCCTCAGGATTGGAGGCTGCAGAGGGTGGGGCCAGTGTGGCCACCCAGCATGGGAGGAGAATGCAGCAATGAGGACTTGGTCTGAGCCCGCAACAGGAAGCAGTTGAAGGGCCTTCTGCCAGGGCTCTGGTGCAGGCAGACAGGCTGCAGCAGGCACTCTGCCCTCGGCCCTGCACATTTGAGAAAGGTGCCCCTCCATGCTTCTGAGCCTGTTTTGACAGAGGCACTGGGGACTCAGGGCTCTCCAGGGACAGGGACAAGCTCAAAAGTAGCTGCTTCTTCCGATGCTGCCCCCAAGAGAACAGAGGTCGACTTTCATGGATAGTCTGTCTTCCTTGCCTGAGGGGTCCCCCAAAGAGGGGGCGACTGCATCCTGGCTCAGGCTCAGCCCTGCAGTGCCAGCTGCACACTCACCCCTTCTCACCCAGAGCCAGCCCACCTAGCCCTCCAGGGAGATGTTACCAGAGCTACAGCAGCCCCAGAGCTTGTGGGCTGCAGGCTGCTAGGTAGGGACCTCCCAGAGGAAGCAGCTGGGCCACTCTGGGCCTGGCCATAACCTTCCGGGACGTGGGGCACACAGGGGGTGGGACACTTGGAACAGAGAAAGGGGCAGGCCCTGGGGTGGCAGTGACTCCTAGTACTAATGCCAGAAGAACCTGTGTGCCTGCAGCAACTGTCCCACTGCAAAGCCTTGGAGCCCAGGGGTTGGTGCCAGCCCCACTTCATGGCACCAAGATACTTCCAGGGAGAAACCAAGCAGAGTCCAGAGCCTTGGGAGTCCCACTGAGAGCCAGCCTGGCTGCCTATTAGCCATGGGACCCAGACAAGCAGTGACTCCTCTCTGAACTGCTTTCCTAACTGTCATGGGATGAGGACACTGTTGGCCTCACCTAGTTTTGGGGGCTACTGGGAGAACCACAGCCACTGGGCCAGAAACACTCATGTAAGCCACACTGGAAGCTGTCGCTCTTACTGTCCATGGGCCCGTCTCACTGTGGGAGCCTTTCCTGTACCCATCACACCAGGGACAGCCTGAACATGCCTTCTTCCTACTGCCTCCACCAGAGGCCTCAGCCCTCTCCTGATTATGCAGGCAGGGACCCTCCAAAGCTAGGTTCAGTGGTTCCTTCCTGTGGCTTCTATGGCTGTACTCCCAGCCCTCCCTTCATGTCTCCCAAGGCTCCGACTCCCTCCCCACCTTAGGCACAGGGACTCCTAAAGGTCTTCCCCTGATTTCTCGTGCCGCACATCAAATCTCATCCACCACGTCAGCAATAGCCCTGAAGGGGCATTTCTCTCTGGCCTTCCCACCTCTGACAGGCCTCGGACGACCTCGGCCAGCTCTGGGCAGGGCACTGCTACTCTGGATAGCCCACCACGACTCCAACTCAACACAGACAGGGCACAGCTCATCACCAGTCCGGCCCCCAACGCCACCAGCGCCAACAGACCACGGCTCTCTCCAGCACGCAGGGTAAAACCTGGGCCATTTTAGAATCAGCTCCTGCCATTCACTAGCCTCCAGGTCCACCCCGAGGCCCCTCACCTCTTCAACTCTGAAGTGACTTGAAATGAGACACACATGGGTTCGAGTCCCTGCTCTAGCTTGATTTCTCTTGAGCCTCCGTTGCTCACATGCAAGCTGGGCAAATAAAGGTACCTCATTTGGTTATGGCAAAGGTTTAATGAAACATTAAAGGAATGCTCAATGAGTGGTGGCTCATATAACTAATACTTGCCAAATATTGTCCCTCTTCTATCTGCAAGTCTCTCCACTCTTAGTCTTAGGTCAGGCCTTGAGTACAGACCCCTGAACTACTGTGCCAGTCCCTTCCCTGCCAATTTACCACCTGCCCACTGGAATGGCACTTTTCAACAGCACTTCTGCTCACATCTCTCTCCAGCTTTCTGCTTTCTGAATCCCTCTACTGGACCTTCACAAATCCGTCCCAAGTTTGCTTCCTCACTGCATCCCTCGACTCACTCTGTTCCAGCCAAATGAGCTATTCCCGTTCCCTCAACTGCCCACGCTGTCCTACCTCCCTGTCTCTGTGCACGTGGTTTTATTGGCCTGTTCAGAGTCCTCTGCCCTCCTGAAAACCTCCTGAACACCTGCCTGGGAGCCCCAGGGCATGGTGCCCACCTGTCTTCTGGCCTCACTAGCCAGTATGGGTGCTGTGTGTTCACTTCACTCACTGGCTGTGTGACTCTGGTCAAAAGAATTAATCTCTCTGTGTCTCAATTAACAGAGACAATGCAATATCTAACTATACAAAGTCCTTACACAAGTGCCTGGCCATTACTAAGTTGTAGAAAATGTTACACGTTATTCTAAAAAAGAAAACAAAAAACAACCTTGTCAGAGGTTCCCACTGCCTACAATAAATTCCATTACCTGGTGGTCGATGCTCTGACGACCCCAGCTGGGTCTCCTAACTTCACCTTCCCTCCTTTGCAGTGCGTTTCCACCTGAACTCTGCTATTCACTGACTGGGCCAGGCCCAGGTGTTCCACCCTTTGCACCTCCTGGGTCCTCTGCCTGGAATTCCTTCCTGCTATGCTTCTCCCTGCAGGATATATCACATCTTTCAAGACCCCAAGTCTGGCTCTAGAGCCAGCTCTAAGGCTATCCTCTACCCCTGCTTCTCATTATGGTCCTACTGGGTTGCTGGGCCACCTCTGGGTCCCATGTGCTCAAGCCTGACCTCTCTCTTCAATACTTGGGAGTTGGTGTCCAGGCTATGCACACTGAGCTATGCATCTTCACAACCTGGGGACCAGTGAAGGAGGCCCAGCTCCCCACAAGGCTGGGTCACCTCCCATCCTCCCCTGGAACACGAGCACCCGAAGGCAAGGGTGCTCTGCTCTTCCCCTGCTCCCCTTGGCCAGGTGCCTGCAAGCCTTGGTAATACTGGTGGAAAGTCATGCTTCTCCCCTCCTCTCCTTAGAAGTCCAGAATGATAAAACAGAGAGGGCTTTAGGCATCTTCTAGTCCAAATGCCTCATTTTTACAGATAGGGAAACTGAAGCCAAGGACTTGCTGGAAGTCACACTCAGAGACAGCATCAGGGGGAATGGCCAGCTCTCCCAGATTGCTTGCCCAGCCTCTTATCTCTCTGGCAGGACTTACTTAAGACACCCCACCCCTGGCCAGCCCACCTTACCTGAAGCAGTCTGCGTGCCAGTCAGCGTTCAAGGCCTGGAGGTACTGGCCATCATAGATCCTCTGGCTGCAGCTTGCACACACGGGCAACTCGCTTCCTGCAGGGGTGGAAAGCCAGGAACCATTCTTAGGGGAGTCAGTTTGGTGCAGGCCAACCTGCTTTGCCGACCCCACAAGCATCTGCACAAATCCTCATACACATGTACGTACACGTACACACACACACACAGCACCCAGGCTGGGCAGTCACTATGCCAAGCAGAAGGAGAAAGGAGGTAGGCCTGAGGGTGTTGCTGAGACATTGGCTAAATTACCAAGCCTCTCTGGATCTCAATTTCCCTATCTGTAAACTGAAGAGGAGGATCAGATGTCTTCCCTCCAGCAACAGCATTCTTCAACTCAAGGTAAATGGAAGATTAAGTGGCAGGATTTAGAAATAAGGCAGCGGGCGACATTCTTGTCACAGCACTTTTCCTCTCCTGCCTGCCCAGGAAAAGGTACTAAGAGGACCCTTCAAGTCCAGGTAAGGACTAGATAGGGCTGGACTGGTACATCCTGGGCTGAAGCCGCTGTGAAGGAAAGGACAGGAAGCCCAGAGGTGCTGGCCCCAAATGAGCCTTGGCTACGCCCTGGCCTAACCAGGGACGGAGATGCCAAGCTGGACACTCCCAGACATCTACCTGCTCCAGGGAGGCCTGGTACCTCCACAAGCTGGCTGGCCGTTAGGCATGCTTAGTCATCCTTGGAGCCTGGCACGGTTGGAGCTGGGTGGGCTCTGGCAGATCCCCCAGGCCTGAACGTCCTCCTTGTACAGGTGGGGAGACAGCCCTGGAGGTTAAGGCTTGCCAGGTCACACAGCAGGCTCCCAGGCCACAACCTGTCCCTCCATTAGGACTCAGGGACCTAAGTAAGGTAGGGGTGATGGTGAGGTGGGCCCTTGCTCCAAATAGGCCTTCAGAGACCTGGTGGGAGGACTGCGAGTAGCCCCAGGGGAGAGCAGGGCTGGAGGGGCTGGCACAGATGGGACCAGGTGGGCCTACGTGATGGTGTGGTTGAAGAAACCCAGGGGAGACCAGTACTTGTTCTAGGGTGGGGGAGGTTTTTTTTTTTTTGGGGGGGTCGTCACACCCTAAATGTCCTGCAATCCCCAAGCCTTGAGCCTCAGTAAGGGGAAAGGGGCTGAAGAGGAGACTGGGATGAATAAGAGCCATTCTCCCAGCCAATACTGATGCTAGGCACTGGGTTTGGCGCAGGGAGAGGGGGTGGAGGCCCCTAGCAAACCGCCAACGGCTCCCTGGAGGCACATCTCTGCTCAGCCCATTCGTCCCCCAACCACCAGTACGGGGGGCCAACTATCGACCCCCAACTGTACAGATGGGGAAACTGAGATCCGGCAGGTAGCGCTTGGCTCAAGGTCACGGAGCCAAGCAGGCGCGAAGCAGTGACTCGGACCCAGGGCTGCAGCTTCCTCAGCGCCTCTTTCTTCCCAAGCGGGGTTAGACTGGATAAGGGGTGGCCCAGGACGAGCCACGGGTGGACAGAGCGCGCGGACGGAGGCCAAGGCTGAGGGGGCAGTGCCTAGGACTCCTCCCGGGGGGGTCGCTGGTTGGGGGAAGGGGAAGGCGGGGAAGGAGGGGCCCTCCGCCCGCGGGAGGGCAACCCACCCAGGGCCAAGGAGGGGAAAACGGGGTGGGACCCAGTCAGGGAGGGGCCTGCGGGCTTCGGAAGGTCGAGCTCAAGCCGGAGGAGAAAG